TGAAAATAGTCTTGACTGTGATATTTACATATGAATTGGTAGCACTAATACATATAAATAAGCCACAACTCATTCTCTAGTAGACTAGTGGTCTACCTTCTTTCTGAGGAAGTCACATGACGAAACGTAGACTAGTGGTCTACCTTCTTTCTGAGGAAGTCACATGACGAAACGCGTCAAAGGAGGGTGGATGCAAGTTTGTTAGACACAAGACTTTTATATTTTATGTTTTGTTCCTGAGCTGTTTTTGTTCCTGAGCTGTTTTAACCGGCCGGAATTTTTTGCCTTGTGAGCCGTATTTGTAATAAAAGTTTATGGTTTTACATATTACGCTATGAAGGCTCTCTTCTTTGTCCGTCTCTAAAACCCTGTGGGACCACGACAAAGCACTTTATCAACACCGCGTCCAAAAGGATCGATCTCCTCATCCCTGAGACATAGCCAGCAATATAGGGGAGAAAGCCAAGTGTTCGCCTGCCAGGACTCGTGGAGAACACGTTTGCCCTCAAGTCCAACCACGCTATTACTCACTAAGAGCTCCTTTGATCAGCTTCTATTTGGTGAGTACCCACCCGAGAGGGGCAGTTCGGACCACCTTAATACACTGTTACCTTTGTTTATACACGAGGTTCACCGTTCACCAAATTTTTCTTCATAAAGAACACCTTTTGATGTTTCACAGGATTTTTATATGACTTTATTGGACATTTTGATTGATTTTTATGCTTTATCTTTATCACAGCAATTTTGTATTGGTTTATTAAACACATTTCATATACATTAATAGGCTCCAGGCCGACCCGCCTGAAAACCTATCTTCCACTTTTTATACACATTATTTAATACCTTTAGCGCTTTTTATTTTGATTGATTACCGTAGGGATTTCTTTAATCCCCTTTTTGGAGCTGCTCTGGGTTTAATAGATGTGTTCACTATTTCATTATTTAATTATTTATTCCATGTATACTACCATTTTAATTATTTAATTATTCACTTAAATTTTCCTTCTTTACTACCTCCCTCCAGAAGCGCAGATTATCTATTTACATTGCCTGTAATTGGCAGCTCACTAGGCTGCCATGTACAAAGCCTGGCCTCCCTTCCTGCACCTGCAGCCCATCCATCTCTATGACGTGCTATAGGCCTGCCATCACATTCAGCCAGGTGCCAGCCCTCTTCCCAGTATTAGTGTAGGGCGACCTGTGGACCGCGTAGGGTCACCATACACGTTACAATATGACCACACAATCTTTGTACAATCAATTTTGGATTTGCCAAAACTATGTAATAGTTTATTAAACACATTTCATATACATTAATAGGCTCCAGGCCGACCCGCCTGAAAACCTATCTTCCACTTTTTATACACATTATTTAATACCTTTAGCGCTTTTTATTTTGATTGATTACCGTAGGGATTTCTTTAATCCCCTTTTTGGAGCTGCTCTGGGTTTAATAGATGTGTTCACTATTTCATTATTTAATTATTTATTCCATGTATACTACCATTTTAATTATTTAATTATTCACTTAAATTTTCCTTCTTTACTACCTCCCTCCAGAAGCGCAGATTATCTATTTACATTGCCTGTAATTGGCAGCTCACTAGGCTGCCATGTACAAAGCCTGGCCTCCCTTCCTGCACCTGCAGCCCATCCATCTCTATGACGTGCTATAGGCCTGCCATCACATTCAGCCAGGTGCCAGCCCTCTTCCCAGTATTAGTGTAGGGCGACCTGTGGACCGCGTAGGGTCACCATACACGTTACAATATGACCACACAATCTTTGTACAATCAATTTTGGATTTGCCAAAACTATGTAATATGAGGACCTACCTAATCTATCCAATCAGTTTGTTTGGGGCTGATCTGAGGTGTGAAGGTGCAGGAATCGGGTCTGATCTGAGGTGTGATGGTGCAGGAATTGGGGCTGATCTGAGGTGTGAAGGTGCAGGAATCGGGTCTGATCTGAGGTGTGATGGTGCAGGAATTGGGGCTGATCTGAGGTGTGAAGGTGCAGGAATCGGGTCTGATCTGAGGTGTGATGGTGCAGGAATTGGGGCTGATCTGAGGTGTGAAGGTGCAGGAATCGGGTCTGATCTGAGGTGTGATGGTGCAGGAATTGGGGCTGATCTGAGGTGTGAAGGTGCAGGAATCGGGTCTGATCTGAGGTGTGATGGTGCAGGAATTGGGGCTGATCTGAGGTGTGAAGGTGCAGGAATCGGGTCTGATCTGAGGTGTGATGGTGCAGGAATTGGGGCTGATCTGAGGTGTGAAGGTGCAGGAATCGGGTCTGATCTGAGGTGTGATGGTGCAGGAATTGGGGCTGATCTGAGGTGTGAAGGTGCAGGAATCGGGTCTGATCTGAGGTGTGATGGTGCAGGAATTGGGGCTGATCTGAGGTGTGAAGGTGCAGGAATTCGGGCTGATCTGAGGTGTGAAGGTGCAGGAATTGGAGCTGATCTGAGGGTCTGAAGGTGCAGGAATTGGGTCTGATCTGAGTTATGAAGGTGCAGGAATTGGAGCTGATCTGAGGGGTGAAGGTGCAGGAATTGGGGCTGATCTGAGGTGTGAAGGTGCAGGAATTGGGGCTGATCTGAGGTGTGAAGGTGCAGGAATTTGAGCTGATCTGAGGTGTGAACCTTTTTTTTAATTTTTAATACTACTCACCTGATTCCTGGATCCAACAAGCGCGGCCTCCCGTCTCCCATGCTGTTAGAAGTTGCATACAGCGTGTGCTGGTTACTACTTAAACCGGCGCGCGCAGTGTGCAGCTTCTAAGAAGATACGCTATTAGCGTAGCGGGAGTGATGCAAAATGCGCAGCCACCTTCCCCGCTACGCTAATAGCGTATCTTCTACAGGAATTGGGTCTGATCTGAGGTGTGAAGGTGCAGGAATTGGGTCTGATCTGAGGTGTGAAGGTGCAGGAATTGGGTCTGATCTGAGGTGTGAAGGTGCAGGAATTGGGGTTGATCTGAATTGTGAGGGTGCAACAATTGGGGCTGATCTGTGGTTTGATGGTGCAGGAATCCAGCTTCTGGTATATGTGTTGATCATGGGATATTTGCAACCTCTGAAACGCGTTGTAAAGTTCTATCCAAGGTCCTCCAGCAGAGGGAGGACACCCGTAGTTGTGGAGCAGTCTATACAACATATGGACTTAACATGAGATCCTCTACCTAATTCAAAGGTCTTTTAGATCCAATACAACGGCCCAACTTAAGTTGCCTCTCCTGTCAGGCAGTGACATCCAGGATTTAAGGTATTAAGCACCTTCATCTAAACCAAGGCATTGGTCACATGGACTCTGTCAGGTGATCTGAAAATCAAGCAAAACTGGCCAATCAGGAGCTATGCCTTGCCAATCTCTCCTTGTTAGATCCCACCATTCCTCCATATCTGCAATACCTTGTCTCCGCTCAATAACTTGGCACTGAGGGGTGTGAAAATGGCACCTTTGCAGGATGAAAGTAACCTTAAAGCAGATGTAAACCTAACTGGATGACTTTTAGTTTGCTAAAGCACTATGAATAAAAAACAATTGTTCATTCTTCTTTTACAAAATACATTTTTTACCTTTTTTTGCATCCTTTGTTGTATCCCAGTGCTGCTGATCTCCTGCAGCCACTTCTGGTTTACATCCATGTGTTCCACTTGCAGCAGCATGACAATGCTCAGGGCAGGATTCCTCAGGGTGACAGCAGGGGTCTGTGCCTGCATGATGTGCTTCAGTAGGACCTTTTATAGCCTCTATTGTGGTGGGCAACCCTAGCACCCCAGTTGTTGTGGAACTAGAAGTCCCATGAAGTATAGCAAGACCCTGATAGTCATAGGCATGATGGTAATGTACCCAAGATGTAATATATTGCAGCTTACCAGTCTCTGGATGACCTGACTGCATTTGTTTGTTTTTTTCAGGCTTTTTCCCTTTATTTTCAGCTGGTGATCCTGCCAGCAACATACTTCCCACAGCGCTCGGCCTCCTTTGACAGTTTCTCTCCTCCCTGCTGGGACACAGAGCAGCGCCCAGCGTGAGGAGAGTAAGCAAGGATGCGCCGATATTTCAGCCAAAAAAATTGCACTTTCAACATTTTGTCAAAAGTGCTATTTTCGTCCGATATGTTTCGGCGGCCGAAATATCGGTGCATCCCTAGTATAAATTAATTCCCAATGTATGTATTATGTAAAGCGCCTTTGTTTTACTCCCCAAAAGAGTAGGAGACAGTTAAAACCCGTCGGGCATCTTTATTTTGCAGTCTGCGAACCATTGGGGAGATTCCTCTTCACTTCCTGTCTCAGAGACACCGTAGGAAATTAGAGGCGATTCCTCCACAGCGGGGCCATACTTCCTCTTAGACAGTCGTCACTGGAACACTTTTATCCAATAGAAGATTGCTCCAAGATTTCAGATCCTCCATCACTTTTTGCACCAAAGACTCTCATCGCAAGAACAACCAGAGAGGGTGAAACTTTGCAGACTGCAATAAACACCTAACCAAGGCCTAACCCTTCCACATTCTATCAAAAACGAACGAACACAAACGTTATACTTTTACATATACACTTTAATTGCCCCTTGTAACCCCCCCCAAACAAAAAATAACCACTTCAAGAACATACAAAAAAAAAAAAAATCTGAAACTATTTGGCCTGAGCCCTATTTACAGTCTATGTACATTAGCAGTCACCATGATGTTCTATCACATGTAGTGAAGACAGTTTTCACACCAGGAACATCCCGAGATGATGAGCCGTTTTGCCCATGGTGCAAAAATGATTCTCTGCGTGATATTAAAAGGCCTTAGCTGGTTTTTCTTGGCTAGAAGGAGATTCTGTTATAAAGACCTCTTCTGTCCACTTATCCGGGACCTTCATCGAATTGTATGTCTGCTATGGAAAAACAAATCTCTTTTGAATGTAAAATACTTTACTTATTTTGTGTCTAGATATACTTGTCATTATAACATTCAGTAACTGGAACGACAGTTCTTTTATTCCTAGTAGACGTTCCGTCAAGTCGCTGCCATAAAGGAAAACTTCCCAATGTATTTCCAGCTTGTCAATCCATTGTGACCTGAACGCTGTCATTTTGATCATGTTTCCGAGCTGCAAGAGAAAAAAAAAAAAAAAAAAAGTGTAATATTTGTTTCTCGATGTATCCAAGTACAAATATTGGTTTGAAAGGTCACACGTCTAAGGGGGGGCATTTAGTAGCAGGAAACCAAATGGCAAACGCACTCATCAACTCATAACCAGCTTTAAAGCAAGGGGCACATGGAAGGGCTTTACACAGTACAACAACAAAATGTTTCCCAGCACACTCGCCAGCCGGCATGCAAAAAAAAACCTGTTTAACCGCTAAGATTAAAAACAGAGGTTTCAGATACACGTCTTCCGCAGAATATGTGAAAGCCGCAGCGCCTCGCCAAGGCCCCTCTGTGCAGTGCGGTCCTAACTCTAACCCATGAGAGTCTCCATCTTTTAAAATTGGGTGCTGTTGTGATGTGCGGGGTCACTTGTGCGTCCCTGTGCCTTTAAGGAGGTTGGGTTTCCTCCTGGCGAACCTGAACCCAATTTTATCTTTTGCTACATATGCTCCAAGATGGATACTCTCATAGGTTAGCGTTAGGACCGCACTACACAGAGGGGCCTTGACGAGGCAGTGTGACTTCCACATATTCGGCAGAAGACGTGTATCGAAAACCTTTGTTTTTAACCTTAGCGGTTAGACAAGTTTTTTTGCATGCTGGCTGGCGAGTGTGCTGAGGAACCTTTAGCTGTTGTACTTCGTAGCAGGAAACACATACGCAATCACACACAGAAACACAAAGGTTAAACTTGATGGACCTGTGTCTTTATTCAACTTTATATACTATGTAACTAGTATGGTCTTACCATGTCCATAGCCACAAAAAAATCAAAATGTAAAAAACACTCTGCTAATAACATTATATTAAAATGAAAGGAAGAAAAAAAAAAAAACCATGAGCAGAACCTGGTCACATGATCTGTCAGTCATATACTGGCTCTCTTTCAATCATCGTTCTCAAAGTTTTCTGCTGTGTTCAGTGAACCTCAAGCTGAGCTGGACATTAAACTTTCATTCAAATATATTCCTCGGTAGGCAAAAAGAAGATGAATCCACTTTGTGCTCGCCAAGTGTCTTAAAAACCCAGTTATTATTGTGAAAACAGTAGCAGTGACATCATCACATAATCTTGCAGAGAGCAAAGCTGTGGGCGGGACCCAGCACGCCCCACCCTCTGCAGGTTGCCTGCAAAAAACTACAGGAGGAGGGGCGGAGACAAGACCAGTCACCCTGCACCAGGGGAGAGAGAGCAGCAGTGACCGGTCTTTATTACAGGAAGCTCACACGGGATTACTGCACAGACCTGGACGAAATACACAAAGCTCACCCAGATTCAAGGAGGAATACACATGACTCTTGTATGAGGACAATAATTGCTTATCCCAGCGTGCAGCTTTAAACAGAGAGAACTCTGAAGTACACCACAGGCTCCACGCCGTGGTCTGCACTTTATGAATGGGCTGTAATATGCAGGCTGCATTGTGTGGACAAGCATTGTGTTGTATAGTGGAGAGCAGATAGTGATATCCGTTATAATTGGAGCCCTAAATATTGTGTTCATCGCTACCACTAGAAAGCAGTCATAATACATCATCTAGAATGTTGAGGGACATTGATATTATTATACAGGATTTACTGTATATAGTGTCAACAGTGAGTGCAGCGCTTAACAAAGTGGAGGCAGACAGTACAGTTAAAATACAGGATACATGGTGATATCCTTACCAATGTAGTACATCTCCAGCTGTTGGCGCAAGCGGATCTTCTTCACATCATCATAAAAATTAGACTCTGATGCCGTCTCCACTGTCGGCGGCACTGTAAATATCCTCATAATCTTCCTTTTGTTCCTGAGATACAAGAAACATCCTAAATGGAAGGTATAACCTTTTCCAAAATGTTCACATACATCTGCCAATGGGATCAGCTGAATGTAAATCTGTGGCCAGGCTGGGGGCATTTAAAGGGTATCTCTGGTCAAAAACTAAATCTGTATTTCTATATTACATTTCTATAAGTTCCATCCCACTCCTAATATGAAGATTTCCATAGGATGGACTTCCTCAACTGACGCACTGACACAATTTCACTCAGCTCTGTGAATATGTACTTAATGTAACATTATCATGACTGCCTGCAGGAAGCAATGCATGATGGGATATGTAGTCTTAAGAAATGGAGATTGCATCACATCAAGCAGCAGGTAAAGAGATGCAAAGCACACTGGGAATGCAGGAAGTTGGTGGAAGTGATGGGAGACGGAAGGCGGCACTCACTATATAAAAGGGATTATTTCCAGTAAGCTTTGATTGGATTATCAGAAACAACTCTACTATGTATTCCTATTAGAATGCTGATGATATAACAGGAGAGGATATGCTGGGACTTTAGTATTTATATATTACCAACTAGGGATGCACGATACTGATACTAGTATCGGTATCAGTGTCAACGGCGAGTATTTGGTCGAGTACTAGTACTCATCAAATGCTCCGATGCCTAGCCTGATACTTCCGGTACCAGGAAGCCGGGCAGCAAGTCATTACACGCTGCCCAGCTTCCTGATTGATGAGGGAGCACAGAGTAAGCTTCCCGGCCAATCAGGAAGCCGACAGCATGTAATGACTCGCTGCCCGTCTTCCTGATTGGTCGGGAGCTGGCCAATCAGGAAGCAGGGCGCTGTGTAATGACGCGGCGCCCGGCTTTCTGATTGGCCGACAAGCCTGCTTCATGCTCCCTCGTCACCTCATGATGAGGGAGCATGGAGCCGGCTTCCCGGC